ACTACCCACAACTACAACCACTGTAAACTAAATTCTTTCACTCATACGCTAATCAACCAGACATAAATAAAATGTCCATTAGACGCACATACGCATATGCACACAAATTATCAACCAAATCCCGCAAAGACTAATTAAAATTATGCGACAAACACACAAGAATTATACACACGAATTCTACCAGACAAGACAAATGTGCGTGAGGTTTACTTTACCAATGAGAAAGAAACAACACAAAAATAAAAGAAATACCAGAATTTTCTTTTTCTTCTATATTTAATTTCTGATGAAGCTTAAATAAAAGCGAAACATGTTAAATTTATAAACGTTTCCTATTTGTTTCTTATCTTTCTGCTGGATTCTGATCCATATTTGATCCCAATTCATATTTTCTCCACTGAGTAACCACTGATTAGAGCTCCTTTTCAAGAGTACTTGCAAGGTTTACTTTGTTGGATCTGCTGGATTTGCTACTTAGGCAGTCGTAAATGGTAGTGTCATCTGTCTAAATACCTAGTTGGGAACTGATGACACCAAGGAGGTCATTGATGATCAGAAACAGCCCAGTTCCAAGGATAGAGCCATGGAAATCCCCGAGTTTGTATGAAATGATCTGGAAGCATACTCGTTCAACATGACCTTCATTACTCGATTAGTTTGAATGAAACTTAATATATGTCCCGTGACACTGTAGTACTGAAGCTTTCGTAGAAGGCCAGCAAGCGAAACATCATCTAACGCCTTCGAGTATCTAGAGCTACAGTCCGAGCTTCGTAACTTGATAGATAACTTCAGAGATGGGTATTGACACGTGACCTGGCGAAACGGCAGCCATATTTTTTGCACGAAAGGAGGTCATGCGAAATAAGATGCTTAATCAGTTCTGCATCGATTAGGGCCTCGAGTATTTTGCCGAAAAGAGGTAAGAGACAAAAAGGACGATAATTTGAGGGATCAGAAGTTTCCCCAGAATTCTTAAAAGCAGGAACTACGAAGGAGAACTTCCAACAAGTTGGAAAGCAGGAAGCAGCAAAAAATTTGTTGTAAAGTCCGAGGGAATCAGGAGCAAGCCCAGGAGGACATTTATTTAGGACGACGTAACGATTCGTGGGGATCTAATTTTGAGATGATGACAGAAACCAGAGACGGGGTTATGTGTATGTCACTCAGTGTAGCCTCCGTTATAGGGAAAAATCTGGCAGAAGTTCTTCAACATGCACTTACAGAGCTGTTAATAATCCCTGGAACCAAACTTGTGAGAGACTATAAGGTGTTTCATTCTATCAGAAAATAGTGACTTTTCTTGTTTTTGGGGACACTCTTGGACTCATTACGAGCAGCGATAAAGAAATGTCTGTTGCAATCAGACCTGTCGCCCTGGTATAGCTGTGATTCCTGTGGACGATAGAGGCTTGGCAGACAAGTAAGTACCAGAGAGATGGTAATGATTTCACTTGGTATTTCCGAGCTGGAACGAAAGATTTTATGCCAGCTTTCACCCAGGAAGAAATCTCGGTGCCAAATTTCTCTAAGCAGGATGATTAAAAATATTCTTCCATGGGACATCACGAAGGAAGTCACTAAAAAAGTCCCAATCAGCGTGTTGATAACAAAGAAATTTCAATAGACACTGCCGCATGATTGGAGATGACAAGACAACAGAGCTGCAGCGAACGACAGGAGTGTTTCATAAAGCTCGTTAGATAGTTTATACGCTATTTCCCTCTGTCTCTATTGCCTTTAATATATCCCGTCGGTGTCAAATTTTCTAAGCCCTCTTTCCTCATTATGTACCCGAAAAATTCCAGCTGTCGCTTTATGATGTTAATTGTTAGTGCCCTTTTCGTTTCCATTTTCTTTAAAACTTCCTCATTGCTCACATGTTCAGTCTAAAGCAAGGGTCGGCAACCTACGGCCCGAGGGTCGGATCCGGCCCGCGAAGGCATTTTGACCGGCCCGCGAGCCTGATTACCAATGACTATTTTTAACATGAGAGACGAGGCTTTCGAATTAGACTATCTGCCAGTTATCTTTCATGAGACTTATTTTACCAAGTTGCGTTGCCTACGTTTAATGTCAAATAATGGATACATATTTGTTATGACCCTTGGCTACATTAAAAGTTAACAGAAGCGAAAGGAACGATAAAGTGAAAGAGGCCAGGGAGGGACTGACATGCGAGGTAGCAGAAATCTAAAGACAGTTAAACATACGCGCATTATACATACATGCCTCATGAATGTGTGGATGATACCGCATGTGTACGTACGTAAGTGTATATGTTTGCAACTATTTGTACTCGTATGTATGGGTATATATGCTTCGTTTTTAGTGTGTGTGTGTGTGTGTGTGTGGTTCGTTTGTGGAACAATTTTCAATAACAGTTTCAAACCTACACGTCATAATTTCATCCATTTCACTTCGGTTGATTTTTTCACTTTGAAGTATTTTGACGTTCCTTGAGGAAAAATAATTTTTGTTAAGTGTTTTTTAATTTTAGATTTCCTTTTGTTTTTTTTCTGATTTCTCAATGTTTATTTTCATTATGGTTTTAAATATTTAGGTTGACATGGGTCTGCATATGTAATTTTCCTTAATTTTTCATTAATGACCTTTGTCCGGCCCGCGACCCGTCATTATAACACGATCCGGCCCGCGGGGTCGAATGAGTTGCCGACCCCTGGTCTAAGGTATTCTCAGCATCCTTCTCTAGAACTCCATTTCTGCTACCCCAAGTCTATTTGTGACGAGCTTGTCCAGCATTCACTGCAATATAGGAGGACCGATATTACATAACAGTTCGATACTCTTTTCTTTTGTTTCCAACGAGATTTTTCTGCTTGCAAGAATTATTCTCTTAGACGTAGAATCAATTTTTGTTCTCTCAGGAAAGTGTAGGGTAACAAGTTAAACTTATCCAACTCCGTAGGTTTTGTCACTTTTAAGCTCTTGTTTGCACACTGAACAATTACCCTGGGACGTTATGATATTCTGTTGTTATAGTGTGAACATGAATGCAAAAAGCGGTTCATAACAGAAAGGAATTCTATTTACTGGTGCGTAATAGAACCATTGTATATTTTTCATCAGCGTAGATGTTTGCATATTATCGCTTCAAAATATGCGCACATAGGCGTAGATGTTTGTATTTAATTAGCGCTTTGCGCTTCCGACATATATATGCATATGTATGCGAACGTTTCTCAATACGTGGGATAAAAATGGCCGGCGCGGTTACTATGGTGATAGCGCCACAGCAGGAAATGCCTCCGGCCATCGGACGACTGACCAACAAAGCGCTGTCAGAAACTGACCACAGCACAATCCAACTGGGAACGAATGGACGAGAGCAAATTGTTTGCTGTTTTTCTGTTGATTGCTGATTGACTAGTTCGTAGTCTGCGGTCATAATTCTCTCCTTTATAAAACGCCATAATGATCGCAGCCAGAAACTCATTAATGAATTCCATCTTTAACAGTCCTTGATTTTTTTTCTTCTCGAACTTTAGCTCTTTATTCCATTAGGACTTTACTGTTTTTGCAGTGCTTCCCTTGAGTTTTTTTTTCTACCATTTTGTTATGAATCTGGACTAAGTCTTCACATCGTAAAGTTACCTTATCCTGAAATGTTTTCTTAAAATCTTGAATTCTATTCTTAATACTTTTCTTGTTTCTTTCCTATTTTCATTCATCATTGTTTCTTTCTTTCTTTCCCTTCCATTCTTTGTATTTTTTTTCCTTGTTACTTTTCATTCATTTTCTTTTTTCTCTTTTTTGTATTGGCTACTTCTCTTATTTCATTTTTGTTGCAGTTTTACCATATTCCTAATTCAATTTTATCACTTTAGATTAATTCATTCATTTTTTCTTTCATTTTTCTTCCATCTAATTATTTAATCTTTAGGAAATTTTCTTTACTTATTTATCTCCTTCTATAAATGTTCATTTTTCTTCTTTTTGTTCCAGTACATTGCCGTTCTCCTTTATTTCCCCTCTTTTTACAGTGCATTTTTCCTATTATTTTAAACCTTATTTTCTCCATTTCTTCTTTGACCCCTTTTATATTTTCTGCTTCACTTTCTTTTCACTGTTGTTTTGGTTTTATCATCTTTCTAATTCAATTTCTTTATTCTCGATGTCTTTCTTTCTTCCTTTTCAGTCACTTGTTGCTTTGTCGCCCTCTCAAGAATATTGGCAAGTATTTATTCTTCAAACCACCTCCCAACCTCCATTCGCTATTCTATTATTTTCCATTTTCCTCCCCTAACTCAAAATTAGAACAGAAAGCGAAACACCAACAGGAAAACAGAGGTAGTTCAAGTAAGAGGTATCAGATAGAGGATATAAAAAGCATAAGTAAAATAAAACAAGAAACATAAAAACCAAAAAGGAATAATGAATAAAAAGATCGGACAGTTGAGAAAGGTTATGGGTTGGCTTGAAGATTGAAAGTGAAAGTGAAAGTAAATGAAAGATTTCAAAAACGTGTGAGAAGGAGACTGAAAAGAAAGTTTTGCAGTAGCATTGGAGAATGGGGATGAAGTGTTACTGGTCGGGTCAGTTTGGGTCAACATCGAACTGTTTGAAATGGTAAGTCCGTATCTAAATTCACTTCATACCTGCGTGTTACAGCTTCTTTTCCCAGCCTCCATATCTTGCTTCTTTTCCACCCTTCTCCTCATCCACCCAAATGCTTCGTCATAAACTCTTGCATTGGTTTGATGATGAAGACTTTATAGAGTCAAGTGTGGTGGCAATAGTGAGTAGATATGAAAGAAAAAGGACTGGTCAAGGCGATTGATTTTTGGGTTGGAGTGGAAGGTATGGTTTGGTATGGTGTTGGGTAAAATGGTTTGAAGTGGGCGGGACTGGTTGATAGAAATACATTTGAAGGTCCCTCCCTTCTTAAATCTGAATTCGTTCCTTGTTTTGATTTTCCCTGGCTTGCAAATAGAATAAAGATCAAAATAGGAATGGAAAAGAATTTTGTGAGGAGAAAATTAACGATAAGGTAGAGTGGAGTGAGAACTAGAGTGGTAGCGGAGGGTAGAGATAAAAGAAAAAAAAGGAAGTTTTATATAGAAAATAGAAAGGGAAGCGAGTAAGAGATAGTGTGAAGAGATAAAAAGAGAACAAATGTAAGATTTGGAGAAAAGGGAAAAACTGGAAAGCAAGAAAGGATTAAAGAGATAAATGTAAGGGAAGTTAAGGACGGAGAGAGAGTTAAAAAAAAAAGAGACGAACAGATAATTATAAATAATGAAAGAGAACAAACAAAAAGAATTTAAAAGGACGTGAAAATGAATGGATAACAAAAAAAAATGAGAAATCAGCAGAGCAATGCGGGATAAGATGCAAAAACAAGAAAGCAGAAAAAGATGAAAGGAAAAGAGAAAGAAAAGAAGAATGAAAAGCTCTGAGATGATTCAGACGACAAATGGATGAGAATAAAACACGAAGTGGAAAAAGAAAACTAGAAAGTGTAAGATGAAGGAAAAGAGAGAATGATGAAAAATGTTGACCAAAAAGAAAATAAGTGAAAGAAAATATAATGAAAGAAAGAAAGAAACAGAAGAAGGAGAAAATAAATGAACGAAAATAGTAATCGGAAGCAAAGGAGGAATTAAAAAAGGAAAAATTCTATAAGAATCAGAAAAATGAGGAAACAGATAGAAGAAAACGCTAATCGGACGAAGAAGAGGAAGAGAAGAAGAAAGAAAAATAGAAATAAATAAATCTGTTATAATCTGAAGAAAGAGAAGAAAATATTGATCTGGAGAAGAAGGAACGAAAATCTACAAGAATAAGAAGAGCAAAAAGCTAAATAGAAGAAAATACTGATCGGATGAATAGAGAAAAAAAAAGAAAGGAAAGAAAAGAATCTCTAGAAGAATAAGAAGAACGAAAAGATAAATGGAAGAAAATACTAAGAGAGGAAAAAGTCGATAAATAAGAAAAGAAAGACAAAATGTAAGAAGCAGGAGAACGAGAATATGTATGAAAGAGAAATAAATGCTTCGTAGAAGTAGAGTAAAAGGAAGAAGAAAAGGAAGAAGAAAAGGAAAAGAAAGATGAAAAGCCCTAAGAATCAGAAGAACGAAAAAAAAAAAGGAAAGAAAATATAAATGCTGAGTGGATGAAAGAAAATGAAGAAAGTGCAAGATAGTAATATCCAACCAGAAAAGATTTTTTTTTTTTTTTTTTGCTGATCAGCAATTTGTTTAGTTAACACTTGAAAAATCTATTGATCTCTGTGATTGATCACGTCGCTCCAAACTCACCAATCACTCTGGGTGTGTCAGAGTTGCGGGCAGTGATAATTAGGGTCCACCAGTTTGTAAATGGAGAGACAAGCATAATGAATAGGAGATCCTCTACCAAACCGACCTTCGCTTTTCTCTCCGCCTTTTTTTCTTTTTATTTATTTTTACTCTATTCCTTCTATTTTATTTTAACTTTCACTTTCACTTTCGATAGTCATTTTCGTATTTCAGCTATGAAAGGTCCACTAATGTCATTTTCCTCATCCAAACCTTTCCCCAACCAAGGAACTCAACCACAGCCGTTCCTTTTATAATAAAAATCCCTTTATCATTCCCCGCCCATTGCAATCCTGAGAAATAATTGATCGACTCAAAGTGCATCGTCATAGAGTTTCTTTTATTCTTTATTCATCTCAAAAGTTGTTGTTGTTGTTCTTCTTCTTCTTTATTATTATTATTATTAATAATAATAGTCATATCATCGTTATTAATAATAAATGTAATAGTAATATTGGTAGTATTTGTATTGGTCGTAAACTTAATAGCAACAGAAATACTTATATCACTAGTATGTTAATTTCCTAAGCGTAGCTTAGATGTGGCACAAGGCCGAAAGTATAAAGCACCCGGTGAGGATCGAACTCACCACCTAGTCGTAATTGTTCTTGTTAGCCATTACACGACGTCGAAGTGCCCATTTATATCACTAGTATGGTAAGCAATAGTATTAGTTCTTTGGATACTGCTTTTAAATATAGTATAAAGAATAGTAGTTTATACAGCGAATTATGTATTACTATTATCATTAGTATTATTTATTTATTTATTTATATTACTTCAAACGCTGTTTTTAGTGGAAACCCGTATTTAAAAAGAATAACGTTTGAAGAAAAATATGTCAGATTAAAAATAAATACATTAACGCTTTAGAAATTGCTTATTATTGTTATCATTAGTTTATATTTGTTACACTATGATGGTTAGTGAGAGTAGTCAATTTAATAGTATAATTTTCTTATCAGTACTACTATTAGCACTTACCCCGGCACACCAGTAGAAACGAAACTAGTTTGCCAAATATTGCTCCACGGTGATGCACCCATAATAATATTCGTAAAGTTTAGCGTAGTATAGCAGAAGGGTAAATGAGGGAAATAGCAGTAGTGGCACCGATCGGCCTGCCTTGAAAATCAGCATTCGAAAGCCTGAGTTTTTAAATTGGGCTTGAACACCAACCACCGGCACCTGGAAGAGATATGTAAGCGTCTCAACCACGAAGCAGATGCCTGTATGTCATTTAGCAAGCTTATCCCAGTCTGAAACAAGGCCACTATTTTAAAGCTATCGAACTTACTGAAACTGTAATGGTATATCCATCGCACTGCTTCAAGGTACCTCGAACGTGTTATTAATATTTGTCATGAGAATCTTCGAGAAAATATAATAGCAATGAATTTGACATCTATAAAAATTATTTCAGTCTTACTTTGCAAAAATTCTTCTTTCTTTGATTTTCTCTGTTCACAATTTTCTTTCTTACTCAAATATTTTTGTTTCTTTTTTTATCTGCATGTTTTTCTTTTCTTTCTTTATTCATTTCTTTCTTTCCCTCTTTAATTATTTCTTTAATTATTACTTATTTCTTTATTTTCTTTCTCTCATTCCTTATGTTTATTTTCACCACATTTTTTTAAATATCTTTTCATATTTTGTCTATTCATTTATATCCTTTCTTTCTTTCTTTCTTTATTCGTTTATGTCTTTTTTTTATTCGTTCCTTTTCATTTTATTCTTTATTTCGTTCCTCTTCCTTTCTATTTCTTCTTCGCTTTTCCCCCCCTCTTCCTCTATTCATTTATATGCATTCTTTCTTTGTTCGTTCTTTCTTTTTTTACCTCTTTAGTTATTTAAATTTATTTCCAATTTTCTTTTTCTTTCTCTCTATTCCTTGATATGCTTTATTTATTTCTTTCCTATTTTCTCTATTCCTTGATATGCTTTCTTTCTCTCTTTTCTACTTTCTTGCTATTCGTTGATATTTTTCTTTCTTTCTTTCCCGATATTCGTCGATATTTTCTTTCTTTCTTTCCCGATATTCGTTGATATTTTCTTTCTTTCTTTCCCGATATTCGTTGATATTTTCTTTTTCTTTCCTGATATTCGTTGATATTTTCTTTCTTTCTTTCCTTCCCGATATTCGTTGATATGCTCTTTCTTTCTTTCCCGCTATTTGTTGATATGCTCTTTCTTTCTTTCTCTCCCGATATTCGTTGATATGCACTTTCTTTCTTTCTTTCCCGCTATTCATTGATATGCACTTTCTTTCTTTCCCACTATTCATTGATATGCACTTTCTTTCTTTCCCACTATTCATTGATATGCACTTTCTTTCTTTCCCACTATTCGTTGATATGCACTTTCTTTCTTTCTTCATGTTTACAAGGGGTTATTGAAAAGTTATCAACTTTATCCATTTCCCAAAGTCTGACCAAAATATCAAACATTTTTTTTTAATTTTCAGTCGAGAAAATTTCCTCATCCCCACTTCTTTTTCTTTTTTTTTCCCTTTCACTTTTTTTTTTGACAGCGTTATTCACATCCCTATCTCTGTCTATCCTGGCTGACCATTCCCAATGCATTGGATGGCTGACCAGCACTTGTGGCATGCTTATGAATAGTCAATACCACACCAAGAAAACCTTGTCTCAATAAAGATTTTCGTCTTTTATTCCATTTTCTTTCTGCCTATGCTTGTTCTTCCCAGTTCCCCATGTGACTAAGTACCTTTGAATTATCTAGACCCACCCTCATCGCCTCTTTTCAGGAAACGTCCTCCCTATCAACAACCTTTCTAAACTCGACAGTCGCGTTTTTGTATCTTTCTCTTTTCAAATTGTTGATGCCATTGTCTCATCTTTTTTTTTTCTCGATGTTGATCGCATCTATTTTTCAGCTCCTGGAAGAATCTATTTATTGTCTATAATTTTCTGGTTCCTTTTCAACCATTTCTCTTTTTTTTATCTTTTCTTTCTCGCTCTTTCTTTCTTTCTTTCTTTCTTCCCCCCACCCACTGATTTTTACTTTTTGCCATTTAATCTCGCCTTTTTAAGCCTGTCATTTTTTTTTGATTTCCTCTGTACTCTTAAAAATATTTCCTTTCTTTTCCCGACTTTTCAAATAACTCGATGTCTGGATCAGTTATAACAAATTTAGCATAGGAAATAAGGAAATTGAACATAGAATGGACTTGCAAAATGCTTCACCAAAGCGACACCAACGATGAGCAAGAAAGAATGGGAAAACAGTCAGCTGATCTTGCGCACCAAACTAAAAGTACTCCAGACATGTTCTGATCGGCTCTCTGTACTGCTCCAGTAAGTACCTGGCTCCTCATGCTATCCTCTATCTTTATAAGAACCATATCAGGCCGAAAATGGTATACTGTTGCTATATTTGGGCTGAAGCTGCCCATTCCACACTTTTCAGTCTTGAGAGAGTTCAAAAGCGTTTCCGAGTCATCGGAAAAGAATTATTTTCCACCCTCCAACAAGTCTCTCACTGCTCTATCCCTACTTCCATCGAAAGTGCTCAGACGAACTACATTCTTTGGTTCCATCAGGTCTAACTTCCACGGCTAGGACCCGCCATGTCACTTAGTAGCAAACCACCCACATTCCTTCCGTATTCCATCGATGAGAAGTAATTTCCACTCAAACGGTTTCTACTGCACTATGGAACAGACTTCTAAGAGGTTGTTTCCCCGATCACTACAATCTTATCCTGTTCAAGTCTAGAGTTAACTGTTATCTTCTCTTCCTACAAACAACCCCTTAAAGTAACCCTCTAACTCGGGTGGCCCCCGGGCCTTTTACAGGGTGAAACTTACCGAAAAAGAAAGTACTCTGCTTTACGGCACGGAAAGCTGGGCGACATGCGCTAAACAGGAAATCGCCTGGAAAACTTCCATCTCCACTAACCTAAGATGTATCGTCGGAATCCCAATGGGGCCGGGGAGGAGAGACAAAGGTCGCAATTGGAACAAAACGATTCTTGTAAATGCATCTTCTACTCTGTCAACGTTGCCTTCGTTAGTTAGGTTATGTACATCGAATGAGTGACAGACATACACCAAGAGACATCATGTGTGAGGAGTCGGCCACGGGACACCATCCGGCTGGCCGCTCTGCACTCCGTATCAAGGACATCAGCGCGTGGGAGAAACCTGAAGCTAACAGCATCGACTCTAGTAGCTTGGAACAGCAGGCAGATGATCGCAACTGCTGGCTCGATGCTGTTGAAAGAGGAGTCATGATGGGCAAGTATCATCAAAACTAATTATTGGACATCAGAAGACAACGCAGAAAGCGGAGAGAGAGAGAGAGAGAGAGAAATCTCAGATCTTGTCTCCACATTTCAGCCTCGTTTGTCACACATGTAAAAGAGAGTGCCATTCGAGGCCACTCCAGAGTGCTCAGAAAAAGGACTCGATTTTGACCAAAAAAGACGTTACCATTATCTCCTGAGATAAAATGATGCCACATACTATATATATATATATATATATATATATATATATATATATATATATATATATATACACAGGGTGACCCAAAAACAGGAATTTTTGAAGTGCGTATTGCCAGACATGACAACACTGCGAGACAGTGACCTTAAGCAAGTAAACATTTCGCCATTTAGAATTCAAGATGAAATTCACAGTATCCCAGCTGTGATGTTGCAGCAGTCAATGAGGAATCTCAAAAGCAGATTTCAAGAATGCATTCGTACAGGAGGACGCCATCTACAGGACGTAATTTTTTTAAAAAATGAAAATTCCATCATTGTTTCTTAAATGGCATGTTTAAGATTTCAATTACTGTGAATAAAAATTTTTTCTTTCATCACTCTTGGTTTTATGGGATTGTTAAAAAGTTCCCGTTTTTTGGGGGTCACCCTGTACATATATATATATATATATATATATGTATCCCGCAGAAATACCTCCCACATAATGTTATGGTTGAAAAGACACCATTTCCACTAATATCTTACCATTATGGAGGAGGTATATCTGTATATCTGTTGCAGCACACACATATATATATATATATATATATATATATATATATATATATATATGTATATGTGTGTGTGTGTGTGTTTGTGTATATATTTATACGTATATATATAGAGATGGGTAAATGTGGTCATTTTATTTTTTTTAATTTCGCGCATGCGCGTTATTTTCAATTGTGTCGCGTGCACAGTATAGTAGGGTCTGTTGGACATTGTGAGAAAAAGAACACCACGGCACAATACATTTCACCAGAAATTTAGAAATGTCATGTACTGATTGCATCGATGCTGGAAGATCTAATAGA